GCTCCCATCTTCCCGAGGCTTACCCTGATCATCTAATTTCAAATTGCACCTGTGCCCCAGTCCCCGCCCGGACCTACATTTTCCTTCCTCCAATGTACTTCACCCCTTTCAGGAATTATTTACTGTGTTTATTGTCATATGTCTGTCTTCTCGGCTAGGTTGTCATCACTGTGAGGGCAAAGATCTTTGTTCTGCTCATTCGATGTATCTTAAGTGTCTTGAACAGCGTCTGGCACGTAGTAGGCTCTTATCAAATAATTGTGTGTTAAGCGGATGCATCAGTATATGATGCCTTGATTGTTTCTCGCTAGTTCTTGACGCTGCTGCAGCCGGCTTTCAGTAGGGCCTTCCACAGTCCCACAGCTCAGACTGTCCCACATCTGAAGTCCCGAGTCCCAGCTCACTGGCCAGAGTCGCTCCACTGGTAGAGTTGGAAGCCTCTACTGCTTGGTCTTGTCCCCAACAAGATCTGAGGTTTCCCCTACATTTCGGCCTTAGTCCTGCTATGCATTTCACATCCCTTGTAGAGATCGGCCTGTCAGGGTCATGGTGAGAAGAGTGCTGAGCTCTCAGCAATCGCTGGGTAAATGACATGGGGTGATTATGGGAGTGGCCCACTAAGTTCTGATTTTTAGCTCAAGAGCCCCTTAGAAATGACCTAGTCCAGCTCATGTTATGGTTCAAGAAACTGGAGAACCACGAGATGAAGTTAATTTTCTAAACTTACAGAGCTAGTTGGAAGCAGTTCTGGGACTGAGTCCTGGCCTGGCGTCGTTTCCTGGTGTTTTAGGACACCGTTTGGCACCAGCCGTGGGGACGGTTTCTCCACGCCCTCCTCTACTCCGTCAACGCAAGGCTCTGCTGCTTTCCTTTTGCCTTCTCACCTGCCTGCCTTCACGCAGATCCAGGTTTCTCTAAATCTCACCCCACACGTGGGACCCATTCTCCCATCCCAACCCAAAGACTCATGTTCCCTTCCCCTATGGATACCCGTATTTGGAGAAGGCTTTCCTGCTTTGCTTGTCCCTGGTTACCCTCATGCTCGGCATGGGGTCCAGAGACGGGGAAGGCTGGTGGCAGGTGGCTGCTTCCATCTGTGACTCCGGGTTAGTCTATTCTGCCCGTGTGTCCCTAGGAGCTCCTCACGCCCATCAGCTTCTCTTGTTCCGACCCCAGGAGAAGCAGGGGGAGGAGGGGAGAGAAGTGCCGCCCTGCAGGGGTGGAGTACTCTCGAGTTTCAAGGGTGTCTCGTGAGCTTCACAGCAGCCCTCGAGGTGAGTGGGAATAGATACTCTTTCTCCATCTTTACTGACAAGGGAAATGCAGGTGAGGAGAGTGAATGGTTTCCCCAGTCTCGCAGTCTCCGCAGCAGGGCTGGAAGCTGAGCCTCCAAATCCTGCTTTAGAATCTTTTCTCCGGTGTCATATTTTCATGTTAACAGAAAGAGACAAAAATTTCTCACCGTCTGCTCTTCTGGAATGTACATAATACCTTTCCCCGAAGACCTTATTTAGTCTTTGAAAGTCTTCTGAGGATATCGGTCTGGATCTCTCTAGCATTTTTAGCGTGTTGGCTCTTAGAAAAGACCACTGACTATTCAAACAGCGGTATGATGGACAGACTCCCTGATACTAAGTTGTCATCTTCATGTGACAGTCATCAAATGTCGTTACATAGGGACCTATGTTCGCAGTGTTCTGGTTTACCTTCGAAGAATCTGTTGGGAACATTAAGATTCTTGATTCAAACTGTGTATCATAAAACTGTTAATGATTTGGTATTTTTACGAATTTTGAAAACCCACGTATTTGGGGGGGTTGTGTGTGTGTGTGTGTGTGTGTGTGTGTGTGTTTAATATTTCATTTATTTATTTGACAGAAGGAGATCACAAGTAGGCAGAGAGAGGGGGGAAGCAGGCTCCCCTCCGAGCAGAGAGCCCAATGCGGGGCTCGATCCCAGGATCCTGGGATCATGACCTGAGCCGAACAAAGGCAGAGGCCCTAACCCACTGAGCCACCCAGGTGCCCCTATTTGTGTTTTTTTTTAATGAGTGTGAGAAATGCCTCTTTACAAATAAAACATGATATATTACTGTATTTAAACTAAAAAATATTCTCTTAAGTATGTATTGCTTACCTCATAACAGAAAGGGATGTCTTCTCACTGTCCGTTTTGTTATGTCTTGTAAACAGAGGTTGAAATTAACTTTTAACCTAATTAAATTCAACTAATACATTAACCAAATTGTGTTAATATTTATGTTAACCTCACTGCCAAACCAAGTGTTGTCAAACATACTGTGGCATCTATACTCCTGAGAGAAATGAAACGCAGTTACATCTTTGCAAGTCAAATAGGAGAGTGACATTGTCCTGCTAGGACTGGCGCTGGGAGCTCCTGCCAGGCTTCTCCGCACAGCGGGTCGGGAGGGCTTGTGTGCAGAGTGGCCATGGGGTCTGTAACGCGGCTCCCTCTTGCTGCCATTTGTCCTTCCTAAGGCCACAGGCTATGCAGAGATGTTTGTAGATAAGAGTCCTGGAAGGTGCGAAAGACTCTTGTGTCCTGTTTTCAGAACCGCTCTATAGGACGACGTCACAGTCGATGCCCCGTAAATTCATACAAAGTCCCTGATAGAAATGGGAATTGTCCAAATCTATTTCCTGCAGAAATGATACCCAAGCTCTAGATTAACTGTCGATACTGTTATCCCCACACGTTTCAGTTGTTTTTATGTTCCAGATTGCCACGTGGCACGCTGCCTGGAGCGTGCCCTCTTGTTGAAACTGCTCTCCATTCCATCTAGTGCCCAGAAGAAAGTGAGCCTTTGTCGGGAATATAGTTTACTTTACAAGTTAGAGTGAGGGGAGAAACCCGTTTGAGCAGGATGGTAGAGTTGTGCAAGTATTCTCACTAATCGTAACCACCGGCCCTCAATCAGTTTCCTGAATGATAAAAAAAATAAAACTCTGAGTCTCAACCACCTGACGGTTTTCCAGCCGATTTGCTGTGTCCAGTCACGTTTGTTATCACTGGTGTGCAATTTTGCAGTTTGCTTCCTTTATAAATTAGAAATGCACCCTGCTTAGGGGACAGTACACACACACACTAGCATGCATTGATTTACACTGTGAAATCACAAGAAGCTTGTAAAGTGGTGTTTAGAGTAAAAACGATAGCCTTATGAAAATATATTAGCAACATTTCTTACAAAAAATGTAAACAAAAATAGTAAATAAACATGCAGCGTAGCACCATGTATTTTTAAACGGGGAGTGAGCATCGAAAAGAGAATCATCTTTAGGTACCAATATGATGTAGGGCCTTTCTTCTTGCTTAACCTTTCATATCGTTTCTTATCTTTATTATAGTCGATCCTTTTCATGTCGTAACTCACAGTCACCTTATGTTAGTCTGTCTGGCTCTATAACAAAAGTACCATAGACTGTGTGGCTTAAAGAACAGGAATTCATTTCTCATGGTTCTGGAGGCCGGAAGTCCAAGACCAAGCCTCTGGCAGATTCCAGGTCCAATGAGGGTCCGCGTCCCTAGTTCATAAACTCATCTTTGTGCTGTGTCCTCACACAGCAGTAGGAACAAAGGAGTACTCTCCTATCTCTTCTAGGTACAAAAGGGCACGAGTCCCATTTGTGCCCTCATCACCTCCCAAAGGCCCGAACTTTTTTTTTTTTTAATAATTTTCTGTTTTTTTATTAACATATAATGTATTATTAGCCCCAGGGGTACAGGTCTGTGAGTCACCAGGTTTACACACTTCACAGCACTCACCATAGCACATACCTTCCCCAGTGTCCATAACCCCACCACCCTCTCCCGACCCCCCTCCCCCAGCAACCCTCAGTTTGTTTTGTGACCTTAAGAGTCTTGTATGGTTTGTCTCCCTCCTGATCCCATCTTGTTTCATTTATTCTTTTCCTACCCTTCAAGCTCCCCATGTTGCCTCTCAACTTCCTCATATCAGGGAGATCATATGATAGTTGTCTTTTTCTGATTGACTTACTTCACTCAGCATAATACCCTCTAGTTCCATCCACGTCAGGCCCGAACTCTTAAATACAGTCCAGGGGGGCTTAGGTTTCTACATCTGACAGGGAGGAAGGTGACACAAACCTCCTGTCTATGACCCACCCATTCTGTTCAGGAAGGAAAAGAAGAGACAACATCAAATAAAGCTAATGGTTGAAAGGTTTAATCCTTATCAGGCTGAAAAGGATTTTCATGATGGTCTTTCAACTGGCCAGTCTATGACAGTTTTATAAAGGCATAGAGTAGAGTTTTATTTGATAGTTTCTCTCCTAATGAGTTCTCCTATCTTTTTTCACATTCAGGACCTATTTGCGCATGACCAGTATGTCTATGGACCAGAGTAAACGGCTGACCATTATGAATTGTTTGTTTACTCAGTAGAGCTATTACCTCATCAACTGAATTTTGAGTAAGCTTCTCTTAGAATGAAAAAAATTAAAATTAATCCACCTAACAGGACTTATTCTGAGATTCTGAGAATAATTTTCCAAATATATCTGGAAAGGTAAATTGATTTTAAAAGATGTATAATTGGGGCGCCTGGGTGGCTCAGTGGGTTAAGCCACTGCCTTCGGCTCGGGTCATGATCTCAGGGTCCTGGGATCGAGTCCCGCATCAGGCTCTCTGCTCAGCAGGGAGCCTGCTTCCCTCTCTCTCTCTCTGCCTGCCTCTGTCTACTGTGATCTCTCTCTCTGTCAAATAAATAAATAAAATATTAAAAAAAAAAAAGATGTATAATTGATGAATTAACCTCATTTTCAGAAAACCCATTTACAATCCACTTCTGCTTCTGAATGCCCTCAGGTAGATGTCAAGCCAAGTGAAGCAAATAATTTTTCACTCAATGAAAGGGAATAATGTGTAGTAGAATAGAACGACAAAAGAGAAAATGTGGTTTGGCCACTGAACTTCCTGCTAACTTCCACATTTCATGTGTGTCGTTTACTGTCTTGCAGGTATGAGAAAGTACCAGTCATCTTGGTGGGGAACAAGGTGGACCTGGAAAGTGAGAGAGAAGTGTCCTCTAATGAAGGCAGAGCCCTCGCGGAAGAGTGGGGCTGCCCCTTTATGGAGACTTCCGCCAAGAGCAAAACAATGGTAGATGAACTCTTCGCAGAAATCGTGAGGCAGATGAACTATGCGGCACAGCCCGACAAAGACGACCCGTGCTGTTCTGCATGTAACATACAATAGCATTCGAACACGGCTGTCCTGGACAGGACACACAGGTGACACACACCTCATCTGCCTGACTGCGGAGCACGTAGGATGTGTGGTGTGAATCCACAGTGAAACAGCCCCCCCCCATTCAGCATCGAGCAGTGATTGTCAGTTGATATCTCTGAGTAACATTTGGGTTCAGGAACTCCGGTCTTCACCACAGTCCTCCGTCTCCTGTGTGCACCTGCAACTTTAAGGCATAGCCGATCGATCTACAGGGTGATTGCCTCCAGAAGCCGTGATGGCATTGTCGCTGGGTTGACAGAAGCAACTATTGTATAAATTAAAAGTAACCATGAGAGAGAAACCGGAAGAATCCCTATGACCGCTTACAGTTAAAATATTTTGTCTTCTTAAAAAAAAAAATTAAGTAAAGGAGAAATATTTTCCTAGGAGAGTACTGAATTTCAGGACTGGAGATAGTGCTTCTAACCAATGTATCCCGTCAAGTAAGATAACAACAGCTGGCCTGCCGACAGCATTACAGGGAGTGAATCTTCCCTCAGCTGACATATTCCCGTTTCTCAAAATTGATGCTTAATTGTAGATGTTATCCTAATTTGTGACGCAGAACTAACCCGCGCATCAGTCCTTGACAGAGCAGAAGTCAGAACAGGTTGTGTAGAAGGACAGAGTCTGGCTTTAGAATGTGTAAAAACCACCTGCTTGGCCACAGAAGATGGAGGCTCTCAAGAGGGTTTGATCCCCATTAAAACCCCGAGCCCACCCTCTGTTCCCGAAGCAGGGGTGGTCTTAATCACTTTACTGAACAAGAAGGAAGCAACTATCACGGGAAGATTGCCTAGCCTTACTCGCAAGATGTGTTCTGGTCGATGAACTAGTACCATCGCGTAAGGAAAATGAAGCCATGTTGCATCCACACGTTCCCATTTGCGGAAACCTCACAGGACAGTATAAATATCTTGCATTTTTACATTCGTCAAAGCAGCAAATTCCTTCTTGCCTTTAAGGGCTATGGTTGTGGTGTGATTCTTGGCTAACCTGCTTTCAAAATCAAGTTTCCTGTAGCAGAGCTTTACTGCAGGCACCTAAAAATTGAATAACCATGTGAAATAATTTGGGTTTAAAAGTAGAACATAAATTATAGGGTGGAAGGCAAGGGACCCCCCCCAAAAAAAAACCCATAAAAAAACCTTTTATCTTTAATTTTCCTGGGGATTTATATAAAGATTTTCTTACAACAGTTTTGCCCTGATTACTGAAGTGGCCAATAAAGCTAGAGTAAGTATTTTGTTTTGAAAAGGTGCTCCAAGCCTCGGTTTTCATAGCCCTGAAGTAGTTATCATTTGCATGACTAATGGCACAGGAAAAACCTATTCCTAAGTTTTTACAATCAAGCATAGAAGGGTTTTCAACCAATTTCAGAGTTGTAAATGCTGAAGAGCGTACCTTGAGCTTAATCCTCTGGAGAGAAATTTGGCCTTCGGAACTGCACTGTCACTGAGCCTGCGATCCACGTCCTTGCCTCACGTTCTGTTGGCTTCACACACTTGTGCAAGTAACCTCTGGTCTTACGTGTGTACCTGAGCGAAGAGTGTGTGTTTGTGTGTGCATGTGTGTTTATTGTTCCTAAGAATTTGGCACAAGTCAGAGATAATTGCCTATACTCAGACTCCGTACTGCAGGATATAGTGTATCACAAGCATTTTTTTTCCTTCTAAATTATTTGTGTGGGTTTCTTTTTTTTTTTTACACATTATGGAAATCATTGCTGGCCCCCAAGTGTTTGGTAAACTGGCATTGAGTTTAGAGGATGGCAGAAAGGTAGATAGTACTTTTCACAGATGAGAAAACAGATTCGTGGATACAACCAGGCCGTGATCATGAAAGATGCTTTGAATTGTGAATATTTGCATTCTTCAGCATAGTGTTTTCTTACAACCCCCAACGGGGAAGCACCTCATTTACAGGACAGAAAGTTCCAACCTGTTTTCTTGGAACCAAGCTCTGTATGTCACAGTTGATTCAACTCAAAACATTTAGAGAAATCCGAGATTCAAGAAGTATGATTTGTCCACAGAAATAGAAATATTTGCTAGTGAATCGGCTGAGATTTGAAGCCTCTAACTTCTCAGAATGATTTTTTTTTAAGAATTCCATATTTAACAGCAATTTATGACAACTAAGATTACGTATTAAAAACATCTAAAGGACTACAGTTTTACATTACGGATTGCTATGCAGACAAGAAAAAGAAGTTAATATGAAAGCAATGTCAAAAACTTAAAGTGGAAAAGATTATCTAACCCTTCGGATTTTCATTCGGAAGTGTTTGTGTCAGACAAGAAGGCGGGCTTTTACTGTATAGATGTTGCAAAGAACCGGTCTGGCTGCCTGATCAGTGTTTCTACACAGCCCTCCGTGCTTAGTGACAGAGCCTCAAAGATCCTCAGAAACATGGGAACCCTCTTGTGCTCTTCCTGTTGGTGTTTCATCGGGTAGGAATATAACTGGGTTTGAAGGAATGTGTTTGTGGAGATGTTACTAACAAGCTGAAGAACAGGGGGTCAAGTGACATGACGTCACAGTGGCTACAGAGAAAAGTCGGTGACCTTGCATCGCTGTTGGTTTTATGCCCTGATCAGACGAGCAACTAGTTACATGAACGTTTTTCTAACATGCCTTAAAAAATGTTATGGTTTGATCCAAAGACCCACTTTTTCTTTAGCTGTTTGTGATAAGCTTTTCTTCTGTTTTCATTTTGTCTTGTTTCACTTCCGACAAAGGCAGCGTTTTTTAGAAGTTTTTTTTTTTTTTCCTTTTATGATGCATCTTTTTTGGGGGGAGGGGTGGGGGGTGTTTTTTAAGCTGTGATAGTGATGGTAACTGATGCCTTTTCCTTTCGTTCCATTTACACCAAACAAGCCAGCATTGATCAAAAGCATTACATAAAATCTTCCTTAAACTATTGAAAGGTGCTTCGATGATTTTCTCCTTTGGTTTTTAGAGGTAGAACTTAACTTTTGACTAAGCGCTTAGGAGTTGCCATCACTTTTCTGTGGTAAAACTACTGATACTTGCTTTTCTTTATAAGGAAATGTTGCCTAAGGATGTCTGCTGTTAGTTTTCAGGAGTTTTCCAGTGGGAATGTTGTCAGCGTATGTCTGAATGTGAAAAGTGCGTATTGTTTGTTGCTGTTGGTTTTCTTGTTGGTTTGTTCTGTTTTTTAGTTGTTGTTCTTCTCACTCGTCTTGTGTTCGCACTGTTAAGCTTTACTTGTCTCCTTTGCCAATCAAATGTTAAAGACTGTGGGGGTCTTTTTCTTTCTTTTCTTTTCTTTTTTTTTTTTTTTAATTAACGTGTCATTGTGCATCTATTAAATCTTGATCAGGGTTTCAAGAATGACTGCAGTGGGTTTTGGAAACAGACTTATCATTATTGATTTGGGGTTTCCCAGAGATATAGTTCACAGTTAGTTGTTGAGCTCTAATACAACTGACCATTTAAAATTGAACAACAGTTTATTGTTTTGTAACAATGTCAGTTGTTAAACCTTGACATTTCGATTAAAACATGAATTGTAGTTATAACTCAATGCAAATTCAACAGTTGTATTTGGAGTTAAATTATTTTAACAAATAAATTTATTTAATGAAACTTCCTCTGGACTTGTGTGATTCAGTTTGATTTTGTACATGTTCATGAGGGAAATGTGTTCAGAATGTAAGGAAACAACCCAAAATTGCCATAGAACAAATTTAATACTCTTGATACAGAAGTATTCACGCTGAATTAAATCAAGAATGCAACAGATAAAAAGGGAGCTTAACTGATCATTAACCCCTTAAAAATAAGCCTCTTAAAAATAACACAAGAGAAACTTTAAAATCAGAAATTACTAATATAACCTTCTCTCCATAACCACTGGTTTATAGTTTTTATGATAGTTGGCTAATTTGAAGCCTCCGTGCTACTGTGAACAGAATTGTTCTAGATAATTAACATTAATTAGCCGTTGCCCTGTGGTCCTGCTAGTATCACTAGAATGTATCAGTCCAGTGATGGGTCTGGACTGTCTTTTTGTTGAGGTCGGGTGGATCTTAAGGTGCCAGAAGCTGGAGGTTGCTCCCTGTGGGGCTGGAGGGCCTGTCTGTTCTATATGGGGCCCTGTGAATGTTGGCAGATGCTGTTAATTATGGACAGCCTTCAGCTGCTCTGATAAGGAGCCCATTCATTCCGTAAGCCAATTTAAACTATGCCTTTTGGTTAGGTCGCCTTCAAACTCTGTTGAAATCCTCTGGCAACATTCCACCAGTTTAGAGCCTTCATTGTTTTAGACTATCAGAATAATTTGAATGAATATAACAGGGGCACTGTAGACAGAATCTCAAATATTTAAAGGAAAATGTGTCTATGCTTTGGTATGATAAATACATGCTAGTTCGCTTCATAATCTCATTTGAAGCATTTGTAAAGTATTTAAACCTATTGCATTCTAATTTCAACTGGGAGAATTTCTTTATGGCTGCAAAGCAGTATTTTAAGCAAGTACTTGGGAGCAAGTGGCACTTTATTGATTGTTAGAGGTCCGTGAATGGAACTATAGGTAGCTGGAGAATTAAAGGGCCACCCAATTTGGAACCCGTCTGACCCCCCAGGACTTGTGAAGCAGACTCCATAAAAAAGCTGCTAGCTTTTTTCCTAATTTTACGTGTAAATGCTAATAAAACAGGGATACCTGGGTGGCTCAGTCGGTTAAGCATTTGACTCTTGATTTCAGCTCAGATTACGATCTTAGGGTTGTGAGATAAGCCCCATGTCAGACTCCATCCTCGGTGTGGAACATGCTTAAGATTCTACCCCACTCTCTCTCTCTGCCCTTTCCTCCCGCTCACCAGCCCCCCAAGCTGTGTTTGCCGCATGTGCACTCTATCTCTCTCAAAAGAAAAAAAAAATTAATGGGACATAGAGACACCTCATTTGTTAGGTAAGCTGGTTTCACATTTTGTAATATTAACTTTTCTCCTGTTTTGTTTTTTTGAAATAATAGGTTTTCGAAAGATTTGCTGCTTCTCCAGGTAAAGTGATATTTTTTTTTTCGATGTTTTCTTAAAACAGTGGTCTTCAGATTACCTTCTACAGATTCCTCCAAGACTTATTAGTAAAGAAAAAGGTAGAAGACTATGTGCTTAAAAGAGCAAATACAAAGATCTATTTAGTACACATGAATTAGAGAAACTGAAGGAATGATTACTTGGTTTGGTTTATGGGAATTTTTTTTACAAATACCCATTTCAAAGGCTCAGAAGTATGAAAGATTTCATTGTTCTAGCATATGATTACATGTTTACATGGACAGTATTTAGGGTATGGTTTACATTTTTATCTTTAAAAACCAGATATTTCAGGGGCACCTGGGTGGCTCAGTGAAGCCTCTGCCTTCAGCTCGGGTCATGATCTCAGGGTCCTGGGACCGAGCCCCGAATCTGGCTTTCTGCTCAGCGGGGAGCCTGCTTCCCCGCCCCCCTCTCTCTGCCTGCGTCTCTGCCCACTTGTGATCTCTGTCAAATAAATAAATCTTAAAGTATTTTAAAAAATTAAAAAAAAAACATATTTCCAAAAAAACAGATATTATTAAAAAATACAAAGAAGAAGGGGAAAAGCCACTCAATTTCTAAATCTCTAATACAACCATGTTGACATTTGGTGTAAATGTCTTTCTGGGCATACGTACATGTGGAGACACACACACAGGTAGAGAGATAAATGACTCCATGTCACTTTGAGAAACGCGCTAAGTACTAAGAATGAATCACCCAAAGTTACACTGATAAAGTGGCAGAGTTGAGGTGCAGACCCAAGTTCTAACTTTAGATCATTTTTTTCCCGCTGTTCATTCTTAATCTTGAATGGTGTCCACTGATTTCAGGTTCATTCAGCTATTTTTTTTCTTTTAAGATTTTATTCATTTGCAAGAGAGAATAAGCAGGGGCAGAGGGAGAGGGAGAAGCAGACTCCCCACTGAGCAGGGAGCCCAATGCAGCACTCCATCCCAGGACCCCGGGATCATGCTCTGAGCCAAAGGCAGACACCTAACCAACTGGGCCACCCAGGCGCCCCAGTTCACTCAGCCGTTGTTCATCAGGGGGTAACTCTTACATCAGATGTGGTGCAGTGATACTTAGAGACATCTAATCCCTGACACCCAAGACATCTTAATTGTCTTATCCCATTCAGGCTGCTCCAACAAAATGTCATAAACTAGGTAACTGGTACAACCAACGTTTATTCCTTCTGGTTCTGGCAGCTGGGGAATCCAAGATCAAGATTGGCAGGTTTGGTGTCTGGTGAGGACCCGCTTCCAGCTGACTGCTGACTTCTCACTGTGGCCTCACATAGTGGAATGGGGAAGGCAGGTCTCTGAGGTCTCTTAGAGCACCAATCCCATTCGTGAGGGCTCCACCCTTACGCCCTCAGCCCCTTCAAAAGGCCTCCCCACCTCATATCATCTCCTTGGGGATTCTGTTTAAACTAACAAATTTTGCAGAAACATGGACATTCAGTCTATAGTACCAGTCTCGTCTACTGGCCTTTCCCTTTCCATCAAGGCAGATACAAATGAGCTCCCTGGCAAGAAATAATTTATTTCCCTACTTATAAATACCGGAACTCCAATAACCTGGGCCACGCCACAGTCCTGGGCACAGCCCGCAGAGGCGGTAGCTGGCTCCGTTCTTTCTTCCCAAATCCTGTGCGACCAGCCTGAACTAATCCATCCTGGGAACTTTGAGGAGTCAGTGTGATGGATGAGGGTGGATGGCGGTAGGCAGGATTCCGGGACTCTGCTCTTATGGCGTGTCTACTTCCTAAGGAAGTGCTCAGGCTTCCAACAGGATCTGCAAGGAAGGTGGGCCTTGGAAGCACTGTGCTAGTTTGGGGACACCAGCAAAACAGAAAGGGGCAGAGGGAGCTGTAGTTCAGATACTACATTGAAAAATGCTAACTCACCAGTGTCGTTGACCTTGGCCCATATAAGGAAATGATGAGTTAGGGGTGTCATTGAAAGAACATTGTCCAAAATATCCAGGAATCCTTGAATCCCGTCCTCGATCCGCACCACATCATCCCTGAGGGGGAGGTGTAAGTTCGTGTGAAACCACACTCAAACTGCGACACAGGCACACAAATGCACACACATATGCATGCACACACACCCACCATAAAACACCGGGGGAGGGAACAACAATTACTTCCTGGAGCTTTCCTTATAAAGCTGCAGTGCTGAGCTCTGGTACGCTGCCTGGACGCCAACAGACTCAGGTCCGCTAGAGGAGCCCAGAAGGAGAAGCAGACCAAAGGCCTCTCAGCATCCATCTTGAAGCCCAAATCCACATCCTGAACATGTCTGCTAGTGAGAAGAACCAAAAGAGGAAAAGAAGTTTGGTCCAGAACCTAGCACGGTGCTGCCCTGGCCCATCCCCTCCCCACCAGGGCCTGACTGAGGGAAGGGGAGGCAGCAGACAGGAGGAGGACGCCCTGGGGGAACTGCCTCCAGACTCCTCTCACTTCAAAAGGGAGAACAAGGAAGAGCGGGGAGGCCCTGGGCTTTATCCTGGAGGTGCCATCATGGCTAAAGGGGGCTTGATCTGACGTCCTCCAGCAGCCATCCTCCTTTTGGGCATGGAACAGAGATGGAAGTGAAAACCAACATGAGTTAGGGGGCAGCTTTTTCTCCACTAGAGCCCAGTAACCC